GGAGAACCGCATAACCTTGCACTTAGAGATGTTCAATTGCATAAAATTTACTTCACACCAGTTATTCAGAGCATTTAAATCCGCTTGTACATTTAAACAATCATCAGTACAGGATATTCTTGAATAAAGCTTTAATTATCAGCGAATAATAAAAACTTACAATATTTTACATTAACACATATATGATTGACATAGCAATTGAATAGCAAAGGGGACAGATGTCCACCCTGTTTTGAATTTTTTTTACATTTGTGTTGATTATTCTAGATGACTGTCTGAGTTCTTTTATGGCATTAAAATGATTTTCTAGAGATAACGAAAAAACGTTCAGAATGTTTCAGTGGTGAAAAGCGTTTACTAATAGCTAGTCTGTCTAATTGTTAAATGATTCGAATCTTTTGAGTTAGAAAATTAGGTAAAATCCTGATGTTTTTGCCTCAGTATTACCACAAGTATTTAACTACTCGCAATTCAAAACTAAACTCACAAAATTTACAACTGACTGAAAAAAAAATAGAAATTTACAAAGACAGAAATTTATAAAACAATAAAATTAAACATTTACATAAGTAGGGCATCGACAAGTAATTTAAACCATTCTTCAATGAGATTCCCAGATCGAATTAGTCGATAGATCAAATAATTATAGAGGGATCATTTACGAATATAGAGACAGATTAAATCACTCCCTAAAATATGGTACTTACTGTTGGAAACAAATATTCACTCCGGCACCACTAAACCCATACTCTGAAACAAGAAAAAACAACTAATGACCTAATTCTAAGAACTTTCTAAGCAATGTTTTGCAAAGTATTTCCACCGAAAACTATGTAAATTTTAACTGTAAGTGTGAGTGTTGCATGCCATATCGTTGACCTTCTAAAGGTAGGTTTATGGAGGTCAATAAATTGTACAACTTTTAGGACGTCCTGGAACGTTCCGTAAATCACCTTCCACCGCCGTTTCTTCCCAACCGGGAACCACCCCAATCGCCACACAACTTAACGGTGCACCAACTCCCGGTGGAGTTGGTGTTAGCTCAGTACCCTTTGCACCCGGCTCAAAAACGGGCCAACCCTTAGAACCCAATGAACTTCCAGTAGGGGACGAGTCCCTATTGTGGAGACGGTTTGCGCGAAAACAGCTCGAAACAAGTGAAGAGTTTAAAGATTTATCTAAACCCAAGCAAGTCCAACCGTGGACTGAAGAGCAAATCGTGTTAAAGAAAGCCAAAGTGGAACATAGGGAACCAGTGAAGGAGAAACTTGAAGAAGTTCACCTGAAAGTAAGCAAACCAGTGCAAAAAGAAATACCGAGAGCAGTGTTGGAAGATGTGGAGCTAAAGCCAGTCAGCTTAGAAAAACATATTACTGATTCATTCGTAGCGCAGAGCATTGAACAAGCTCAAGTCGCACAGCAAGATTGGCGCACCGCTCCAAAGACTCCAAGTAGTCAGATTAGGTCAGCTACTGAAGACAGTACTCTTCTAACATTGGATCAAAAACAACAAGAACACATAGTGAAAACTACTCCAGAGCCAGCACAGAAAGACTGGCGGACACCCAAACCTGCAGATATAGCAGCTGAACTTAAGCGCCAAGCATGGCGTCAAACTTTGGAGAAACAAGATTCAGTCGAAATAGACATTGATACTGTCCTAGCTAAAGCTCAACATGCGGTTCGGAAAATTCCCACGCCTCAGCCTCAACAGGCAAAAATAATTCCTTGGACGGAAGAAAAGATAACTCTCAAGGCGGCCCCTAAAGATCAAATAGCGAAGTTCAAAGAAATTCCCAAAGAGAAACTTGAAGATGTCGTATTAAAACCTGTTACTTTGGAAGAAATCCAAGCATTAAAACAAGCCAAATTAGAAAAACCTAGAGAACCTGGCGAACCTGTTCCATGGATTGAAGAGGATATCGACTTGAAACCAACGCCGCAAGAGAAGAAGGAAATCCCCAAAGAAACCTTAGAGGAGGTGCATCTTAAATCAGTAGACCTTACGGAATTGCTAGAAACCAAACTTACCCCTCTGAGACTGGAAGGAGAAGGAATACCCTGGACGGAGGAAGAAATTAGTCTTAATCCTACCTTGCACGAAAAGAAAGAAATTCCCAAAGAAACTCTTGAAGAAGTTGCCCTCAAACCAATTACCAAAATACCCGATATCAGAGATACTGAATTGAAGTCGCTAATTACGGAAAGAAAGCCCGGTGAACCGATCCCGTGGACGGAAGAAGAAATTCGCCTCAAACACGCCGTTATTGAGAAGAAAGAAATCACCAAAGAACAACTGGAAGACTTCTCACTTAAACCACTAGCGCAAATTCCTAGTCAAAAACCAGCAGAACCTCTACCTGTGCAGCAAGAAATACAAGAAAAAACGTTGGAAATTCAATTAGAACAACAAGAAATTTCAAAACAAAAATCTGCTGCAAAAACTGAAATTCGCCATGTTGAAGATCGAACGCTGCTAGACATTACAAAGCATACCTCTGAACTTATGGAATCCCAACCAGAGGTAAAAACCTGGGAAAGAGGAGCAAAACCAGAAGCAATAACCTCTAAACAAACCACAGAAACAACTCAGAAAACAATTATTGAGTCTCAACAAGTACAGGACACAGATACTAAAGCCTGGAAACGAGAAACAGTTGTCCAAAAAGAAGAGCATCAACATGCGCCTAAAGAAGCACCAGCTCCTTGGAATGAGCAACCAATAACTTTAAAGAAAACAACGATTGAAAGAAAGCAAACTGCAAAAGAAACCATAGAACAAGTAGACCTGAAACCATCCAGGCCAGTTAAAACAGGTGACACAGTTGTTCAAACTACAGAACAAACACAAATTGCTCAATTCGATACCGTTGAAAGAACGGCAGTTTTATCTGCCACAGAAGACACAACCCTACTACAGGTAACGGAGCATGAAAAGGTTTCCCAGTCGCTAACGTTGGAAGAAAAAAGTTGGAAAAGAGCTCCTAAAACCGAAAAACCAACTGTAGATGCCACTACAGTTCAACATATTGAAGATGCGAGTAGACTTATCTTTCAAGAGCGAGTGGAAGAACATGGGGAGACGGTGGAATCGAAAACGTGGCAAAGAGGAACGAAGGCTGTTGGGAAGCTGGAAGAACAAATAGCTCCTGTGCAGCACACTGAGGACACTACTTTGGTAAGCTTACAAGAAAAAGAAGTGGTGAAAGAAGAAATCGTTGAAGCAAAACCATGGAAAAGGGGCCCCAAAACAACAGAATTACTACCAAAAGAACAGCAAGAAAAACCTTTAATCCCTGAAGAAATTAAGCCGAAGGCAGCCCCCAAGAAAACACCTTTAGCGAGGGAAGACGAGCCCATTCCTTGGAACAAGCAAGAAATTAGTTTGAAACCTACTCCAAAGAAATCCGTAGAAGAAACAACTAAAATTGAGGAAGTTTCCCTGACTCCTATTAAAAAACCAGTACGTTCAGTCGATGATAAACAAATTATCACATCTGACGTACAAGAAGAAATAACAGCAGCAGTCCAAGAAAAACCAAGCGAACAAAATGAAAAACTTAGTTCGATTCATCATGTTGAAGATAAAACCGTTATTGAGATGAAAGAACAAGTTGAATCTAGAAAAGATACAAAGCTTGAAGAGAAAACTTGGAAACGGGGCCCTAAGCCTGAAGAAACTCCATTAGAAGCTACACCAGAAGAAGCATTTGTTGCCGAAAAACCTAAACCTAAACAGGGCCCCAAATCTACACCTATAACGCAACAAGAAGAGCCCATTCCCTGGAACAAACAGGAAATTAGCCTTAAACCGACCCCGAAGAAGAAGATAGAGGATGCACCAAAACAGGAAGAAATTTTGTTAACCCCTGTAAAGAAACCAGTTAGAAGCACTGAAGACAAAACAATAACCACGTCTGATGTTACGATTGAAGAGCGATCAAAAATAGAGTTAAAGCAACCGGATTTAAAACCTGGCAAACCTCAAGAAGACCTTAGTTCAATTCATCAAGTTGAAGATAAAATGTTTATTGACATGAAAGAACAAGTTGACTCTAAAACAGATACAAAACTTGAAGTGAAAAGTTGGACAAGGGGTCCGAAATCTGAACAAGCTCCACTAGAAGCTAAACCAGAAGAAGCGCTAGTTCACGAAGAACCTAAACCTACGCAAGTGCCGCAACAGGACAAAATATTGGAAGCAAAACCATGGAAGCGGGGTCCAAAGCCAACAGACATAAAACCAAAAGAACAACAAGAAGAACTTGTAATTCCAGAAGAAATTAAGCCCAAGGCAGCTTTAGACAAAATACCTTTAGCGAAAAAAGAAGAACCCATTCCCTGGAACAAACAAGAAATTAGCCTGAAACCGACACCCAAGAAAAAAATAGAGGAAGCGCCAAAACAGGAGGAAAGTTCACTAACTCCTGTAAAGAAACCAGTCAGAAACATCGAAGACAAGACATTAATTACGTCTGATGTCACGGTTGAAGAGAAACCGGAAACTGGTACACAGAAACGCGTTACGAAACCAGTGCACAAACCTCAAGAGAAAGAAGTTTCAACTTTCATAACGCCCGCAAGTGTAGTGGAAGAACAACTTGAACCCAAAGCGTGGAGGCGAGGCAAAAAACCTGTTGGCAAGCAACCCGAAGAAAGTGTGGAAGAAACAATTACTGAACTTCCTGAAGAAATTCGTGAAACAAAGACCGTCACTGATGGACTTGAAAAGAAAACAATTGAACGTACACGGGTTATTAAGAAGAAGAAAGGAAATATTGAGGAAACTACTCAGATTGTTACGGTTCAAGAAGAAGGCAAAACACCACAAACAACTGTAACCGTCGTCGAATCGATAGCACCAGAAGAAACGCAACCATTTTATGTTGTGGAAGAACTGCCCACCAAGGTCCAAGAAACCACTGTTATTGAACAAGGCATACCTAAAAAGATAATCGAAAGGAAACGAGTTATTGAAACAAAGAAGGGCGACAGAAAGGACGTAACAGAAATAATTGTCACACAGAAACCAGGTGATAAGCCAATAACTTCAGTTACCGTGAAAAACGTTCCAGTTGTCAAACAAGAACCAATTGAACCTGAATACGTAGTACAAGAACTGCCAGTTCAAATTCTTGAAACTGTGGTTACTGATGCTAGTAAAACAACCAAGAAGGTGGTTAAAACAAGAACGATTCAGAAACAAAAAGACGGTATAAAGGAAACAACACAAATTGTGACTGCTGTGGAAGACGGTAAGAAACCGGAGCACGTAGTTACCACTGAACAGCATCCGGCAATTGAAGAAGAATCAATATTTACTGTTCGTGAATTACCTCTTGAAATACTCGAATCTACAGTGATTGAAAGTGGAATTCCGAAACATAGGACAACCAAAAAGAGAGTCATTGAAAAGGTGATTGCTGGAAAGAAAGAAATTACTGAAATTATCACAACTGAACAAGACGATAAGCCAACCGAGACAACTGTAACGGTAACGGAGCAAGACATCAAGAAAAGACCAAAGAAACAGCGACAAGAACAACCGAAAGAGGAGGTGATTCCCTGGACTGAACAAGTTCAGCTTAAGCGTGCAAAAGCGAAGAAACCTCAGGAAAGTGAAGAAGAAGATAAGGTTGAGTTAAAACAAATACCTACGCAGCCATCCGCCCAAGCAATAATAGAAGAACTGCCCGAACAGATTCAGGTGTCCACTACAGTTGATAAAGGTAAAATTGAGAAAACCGTAACGAAAACAAGAGTTATAAAAAAAAGAAAAGGTAGTAAGGAAGAAACGACTCAAATTGTTACTGTCGAAAAGGAAGGCAACATCCCAGAGACAACAATTGTAACTGAAAAACAATCAATAACGGAGGAACAAACCACTCAGCCGATATATTCGGTTAAAGAGCTGCCAGAAGAAGTTTTCGAAACTACTGTTATTGAAGAAGGAGTTCCGAAAAAGATAACTGAAAGAAAACGAGTTATTAAAACCAGGAAGGACAACAAACAGGAAATAACTCAAATTACAACCGTAGAACGGGAAGACAGACCCACGGAAACTGTAGTAACAATTACAGAGAGCGAAGCCACTGATTTCGAAGAAATGCCAATTGAGCAAGAATTCGCAGTCGAAGAGCTTCCAACAGAAATCTACGAAACCACAATTATTGAGAAAGGCAAGCCAAAGACAGTTGTTGAAAAGAAGCGAAGAATTAAGAAGATGCAAGACGACAAAGTGCAAACTACAGAAATAATTACAGTAGAAGAACCAGGCAAAAAGCCTAAAACAACAGTTCGGACGTTTGAAGACACCACCCAAACAATTCAAGACCTAGAAAAACCGCTAATAGAAGAATTACCTGAAGACGTGCAGGAAGTAACAGTAATAGATGCAGGAGTAACAAAAAAGAAACTGCTCACAAAGAAAACGCTAAAAAAGACAAAAGGCGATAAGGAAGAAACTACTGAGATTGTTACTTTGGAAGAAGAAGGTCAGAAACCAGAGACAGTAGTCACAGTCACCGAGGAAATAATTGACAAGAAAAAGCCCCAAAAAATACCTGTTCCACAAGAAACAGTAGAAATTCCCTGGACAAAACAAGTTGAACTTAAACAGACTCCAAAGACAAACAAACCCGAGGAAGAAACACGTGAAGAAATTCGGTTAAAACCAGTCAAAAAATCGCAAATACCCCAGCCTGAGGAAGCTCCAGTAGTTCAAGAACTTCCTGAAGAAATTCAGCAAACGACCGTCATTGACAAGGGAGAAGCCAAAGTGCAAGTAACTAAAACGCGTGTTATTAAAAAAAGAACTGGGGATAAGGAGGAAACCACGCAGATTGTTACAGTAGCAGAAGACGGAAAAGAACCTCAAACGACTGTAACAGTTGAGGAGCAAGAAGTTCCTGAGGCAGTCGCAACACAACCAATCTATAAAGTAGAAGAACTTCCGGAGAAAATTTCTGAAAGCACTGTAGTAGTACAAGGTATTGAACGAAGGAAAGTAGAAAAAAGGAGAGTAATCAAAACAACAAAAGGCAAAACGCAAGAACTCACAGAAGTACTGACCACACAGTTAGAGGGCGAAAAACCAGAAGTCACTATTACAGTTCATGAAATTGAAGATACGCTTCCTGAAACACTAGACGAGACATTCGAAACTGTAGAAGAACTGCCAGTTCAGATCTCCGAAACAGTAGTTGTCGATAAAGGTATTCGCAAAAAGAAGGTCGCAAAAACGCGAACAATCAGAAAGGAAAAAGATGGAAAGCAACAAATCACAGAAATTGTCACTATTGAAGAAGAAGGCAAAAACCCGGATATTCAAGTTACGGTCCATGAAGAAGACAAACCCGTTGAAAAAACGGTAGAAAAACCGGTTACAGATTTACCGTGGACTGAACAAGTCAAACTCAAACGAACTCCTAAAAAACAACAAGAAGCCCCCGTTGAAAGTGAAATAATAAAGCTTAAACCAGTAAAACCGGAAATCACCGATACACCTGTGACTATTGAAGAACTTCCGGAAGAAATTCATGAAACGGTCGTGACTGATAAGGGAAAAATCAGAAAACAAACATCCAAAAAACGGGTCATTAAGAAGCGAGTCGGTGACAAGGAAGAAACAACACAAATCGTAACCATTCAAGAGGAGGGCAAAGCTCCGCAAACAACCGTCACTATCGAAAACGTGACAATTCCCGAAAAGGAGGTTGTTCAACCGATCTATAAAGTGGAGGAAGAACCCGAGCAGATACTTGAAACATCTGTAATAGAGGACGGAGTTAGAAAGAAACAAGTTCAAAAGAAACGTGTTATTAAAACAACTAAAGGCGATAAACAAGAAGTTACTGAAATCGTCGTTTTAGAGCAAGAAGGTAAAAAGCCTGAGGTAACAGTAAGAACAGAAGAAATTGACGCGCCTAAAATTCCATCTGAACAACCTGAAGACACATCAATTGAAGAACTGCCCATTGAAATTAGAGAAGACGTCGTTTTTGATCATGGAGTTTCCAAGAAGAAAGTGGAAAAGAAACGAACTATCAAGAAAAAACGAGCTGGCAAAGATGAAATTACGGAAATAATAACCGTAGAAGAAGAAGGCAAATTGCCTGAAACCAGTATTGTTACGTACGAACAGGTTCCAGAGGAAGATTCAGAAAAACCTTTTATTAAAGAGCTACCTGAAGAAACGCAACAGGTAGTGGTTGTAGATGAAGGAGTCACTAAACAGAAAACGATTAGAAAACGCATTATTAGAAAGAGGAAAGGTGATAAAGATGAGATTACTGAAATAGTAACACTAGAGGAAGAAGGAAAATTAGCTGAAACAACTGTAAGCATTACTGAAGACGATCGCAAGCCAGACCAAATAAAACCGAAGCGAAAGCCCAAAAAAGTGGAAGTTTCAGAAATCTTACCTGTAGTTGAGGTAGAAGAATTGCCTGAAGAAGTTCAAGAAACAATTGTTATCGATAAAGGGGTCGCCAAAAAGCAAATTAAAAAGAAGCGTGTTATTAAGAAGCGCAGAGGCAGCAAAGAAGAGACGACTGAAATTGTGACTGTCGAAGAAGAAGGAAAAGCTCCACAAATCCAAGTCCAAGTTGAAGAGGTGCAAATTCCGGAGGAAATGGCTGAACAACCTATTTACACAGTAGAGGAACTGCCAGAGCAAGTATCTGTCAGTACAGTGATTGAAGGAGGCTTGAAAAAACAAAAAGTTCAGAAGAAACGTATCATCAAGACACGAAAGGGCAATAAACAAGAAATTACTGAGCTGACCACTACAGAAATGGAAGGCAAAGCACCGAGCACCACAGTAACAATTACTGAAGTAGAAGCACCAGCTGATGAAGTTCCGGTTCAGACCGAGTATGTAGTCGAAGAATTGCCAATTGAAACCCAAGAGGTTATCAGTGTTGATGGAGGAGTTACCAGCAAAACGGTAATAAAAAAACGCACTTTGAAAAAAAGGAAAGACGGCAAAGAACAAATTACCGAAATCGTAACTGTGCAAGAAGACGGCAAAAAACCAGAAACAACGGTTACAATATCGGAAGACTTTATCCATCCAGACACTATTTTCCTACAACCTCTTGTTGAGGAGCTACCAGAACAAATATCAGAAATCATAGTTGATAAAAAGGGTATTAAAGAGAAACAGGTTATCAAGAAACGTGTCATTAAAAAGCGAAAGGGTAGTAAAGATGAGGTAACCGAAATTATTACGCTTGAACAGGAAGGTAAAAAACCTGAAACAACTGTGACTGTAACGGAAGAAGAAACACCACGAAAACCGAAAAAGCGAGTCATTGAACAAAAGAAAGCGGACCTTCCTTGGACGGAACAAGTCAAGCTTAAGAGAGCACCTAAGCAAATAAAGCCTGCAAAAGAAAAAGGAGAGACTGTCGAACTTAAACCCGTCAAAACGGAAGAAGTAATCCAAGAATTGCCTGAGGAGATCCAAGAAACAACAGTTTTTGATCAAGGTGTAATGGAGAAGAAGGTTACTAAGAAGCGCGTAATCAAGAAGCGAAAAGGAAGCAAAGATGAAACTCTGGAAATTTTAACGGTACAAGAAGAAGGCAAGCAACCAGAAACAACAGTTACAATCATCGACGAAACTCCGAAAGTTCCTGACGTCACCTTAAAGCGAGCGAAAAAAGAAAAAGTAAAACTGGCGAAGGGAACTGACGAGAAAATTGAAAAGCTCCATCCCGCCAAAATGGTTCAACCAGATTCGCTTCTTACCACAATGGAAGAATTACCTACAGAAGTTCGCGAAACCACAGTAATTGAAGATGGAATTACTAGGAAACAGAAAACAAGAAAACGCGTTATTAAAAAACGCCGAGGTAGTAAAGAAGAAACAACTGAGATAGTTACCGTTGAAGAAGAGGGTAAGGTACCCCAAACAACGGTAACTATCGAAGAAGACGTGGCTCCGAAAATTGCGGAAGAGCAGCCATTGTATAGAGTTGAGGAACTCCCAGAAGAAGTGTATGAAACAACTGTTGTAGAGCAAGGTCGACCGCAGAAGAAAATTATTAAGAAGAGGGTGATTAAAACTAAAAAAGGTGACAAACAAGAAATTACTGAAATTGTTATTACACAGAAGGGTAGAGAGGCACCCGTGACCGAAGTGATAATTCATGAAGAATCTATTCCATTTGAAGAGATAGAACAACCAGAATATGCAGTGGAAGAATTACCTGTGGAAATCCAAGAAACCGTTGTGGTTAAAGATGGAATTTCTAAGAAAAGGGTCGAAAAGAAGCGAACAATTAAGAAAAAAGATAAACAGGGAAAAGATGAGTTAACCGAAATTGTTACAATCCATGAGGAGGGTAAAAAGCCCCAAACAACGGTAACAGTTCAAACACAAGACACGGTGTCAGATATTCCGGATAGGCCAGTTATCACAGAACTTCCAGAAGAAATTAGTGAAGTCAATGTTGTAGAGCAAGGCGTCATCAAACAGAAAATTAAGACAAAGCGAACAATAAAAAAGAGGCGAGGTAGTAAAGACGAAACTACTGAAATTGTGGTTATAGAAGAAGAAGGTAAAGCCCCGCTAACAACAGTGCTGGTGACAGAAGAGCCTGTAGAGGATCAACAGTTAATTCCAAAACCAAAAATAAAGAAAACTAAAAAGCAAGCAAAAAGTGAGAGTCCACTGGTCACACCTGAGGGCTACCTTTTTGTCCCAAGTCTGGCACATCCAAAAGAAACACAACCCGACGATGTTGTCGATATGTTGCAGACGGAACTTATCAAAATGCGCCTTGCCAAAAATCTACCAGAACACGTAGTGCCTGACGATGTACCTAAATACACAGTCATGGAATTACCTGAGGAAGTCCAAGAAACTACCGTCATTCAAGATGGAGTTTCCAAAAAAGTTAGATCGCGAAAACGGGTTATTAAAAAACGTATTGGTGACAAAGAGGAAACAACGGAAATAGTTTCCGTAGAGGAAGAAGGCAAAGTGCCTCAAACTACTGTTACTGTAGAAGAAGAAACAATTCCAGAAGATATACCGGAACAACCGATCTACTCTGTTGAAGAACTCCCTGAAGAAATTTCTGAAACCACAGTCCTAGTTGAAGGAAGACCTAAAAAAAGGATTGAAAAGAAAAAGACTATTAAAACTCGAAAGGGTAGTAAACAAGAAATAACCGAAATAACCGTGACTGAGCAAGAAGGCAAGAGGCCAGTGACTGAAGTTAGTATTAAGGAAATTGATATTCCTGAATCGGAAATCCATGAAGGGCCTCAGCCAGAATATCTTGTGGAAGAACTCCCAATTGAAATTAAAGAAACTGTAGTAGTTGAAAACGGGGTATCAAAGAAGACAGTTCAAAAGAAGCGGACTATTAAAAAACGCAAAGGTGATAAAGAAGAAATTACAGAAATCGTTACTAGTGAACAAGAGGATGAAGCGCCCAGAACCATTGTGTCCATTGAGGAAAAGCCGATTACTTTCCAATTAGAGGAGGTACCAAAAATTGTGGAAGAATTGCCAACAGTGATTCAAGAAGTCAGGATAATCGAAGATGGTGTACCTCAGAAAAAGACCATTAAGAAACGCGTTATTAAAAAGCGACGTGGCAGTAAAGAAGAAAAAACTGAAATTGTGACAGTTGAACAAGAAGGTAAACTTCCCGAAACGACCGTCACTGTTGATGAAATAACAGTCATCGAAGAGAAGAAGCCCAAAGTGAAGAAGCCAAGAACAGAAAAGGTCGAAGAAGTACCATGGACGGAACAGGTTCAACTGAAACCATCCAAACGGAGGCCAAAGGCTGTAGAAAAAACACAGTTGGAAGAAGTTGACCTGAAGCCATTTGAAGTGCCAGAGAAAGAAGAAGAAGTATTTAGAGTGGAGGAACTTCCTGTGGAAATAAAAGAAACCACAGTAATAGACCAAAAAGGTGTATCTAAAAAGAAAATCGTTAAAAAGCGAGTTATTAGCAAACAAAAAGGCGACAAACACGAACGAACTGAAATTGTTACAGTTGAGGAAGAAGGCAAAGCTCCAGAGACCACCGTAATCACGGAAGAAATAGATGCTCCAAAGACTGGCGGTCCTTTGTACATCGTTGAAGAATTGCCAGTGGATGTCCAAGAGTCTACC